CAAACCAGTAATTCATTTCAGCAAAGTAAAATTAAATGAGCATTGGAGGTACCTTTTGAAATCGTTAGTGCTGGGGACCACTGTGATCGTAGAATATCAAGACAAATGCTGCCATTACTGTTAATATTTGGATGATAGATTCTTGTTGTAAATGCAACCTGCAGAAGAAGGAAAATTTCAGCGTAGGCTCACAAATACACATCACACCACATGGCAATGAACAGGTCTATGGTACAAGCCACTCACCTTAGGTGGTTTGAAGGGATAATCTGTTGGGAAGTGAATTGTCAAGAAAAATACTCCACCTTGATAGGGACTGTCATTCTGTTAATGAGAGAGAATCATTGTGGTTTGAGGAGTTATGACAAGACTAGTCAAAAAGCTACGAACGTCAATCCTCATATACTTACTGGTCCCATTATTGTAGCTTGCCAATGGAACACTGAAAAAGAGAAAGATTTACTTCAGTTTGGAGAAGCTCAAGTAGTGAACTACTTTCTTCCAGACAAAGCAGCACAGAAAAGTCTGTTTTAAAAACAAAGCCTTCTGAAAGGCCACAGGGAAGCAAGCCAAAGAATTAAACAGAGACAGAGCAAAGTACTCAACGCTCCACACTCACTTGGTCCACACTTTGGGATTGCTGTGGTACCTACCAGGCATATGCCCTGCAAAAAAACCCATTACAATCAAAATCCAGACAGTCATAGTCAACTTTTCAGACCCAACAAATCTGTAGGTTCAACTTTCTAGTTTCAAGTGAAGCACCTGAATCAAAGCCCAGTTTCCAAAGACTGCCCTCTTCGAGGAAGCAACAGCAAAGGTACAGTACAAGCTCACGCCTTCCTTCGGCAGATCTCTCCTACACAGATCCTCAGTCAAACAGAGCAAGCCTAAGCTTCGTACACACCACGTGTAAAGAGGCAACCTAAGCCAGTGCTACCTTGACTGACTGTTTAAGTTCAGTCTCCAGAGGCCTCGAGATTTCAAAGCAGCAGAAAGCAATCAAAGTCTTAAGAGACTGCAAGAATGACAGTCTGCTCGATACTGGAGACCAGGATGTGGCAGGACACACTTTAGGTTAAAGGGACAAAAATAAGTCTCACTCATATGCATCTGTCCAAGAGAAAGACTGCAAGAATGACAGTCTGCTCGATACGGGGGACCAGGATGTGGCAGGACACGCTTTAGGTTAAAGGGACAAAAATTAAGTCTCACTCATATGCATCTGTCCAAGAGAACATCTTAACGTGGTAATACAGGGGATTGGTGAAGAACGTCTTTCTGCTGCAGAACACAAGGAAAACAAAGCTGTTAATCTGTACGAGGCACGTGAGGGCGTTCTCATGGTTCCTGCGCTCTCCCAGGGCTCTGCTGCCAGCCTGTGCAAAGAGCACCAGCTGAGCAGACGACCTGTGAAACTGCACCATGGGAAGTTCCCCTTTGCACAGGTGCCAGCCCCAGCGCACCTTCCCAACGGGGCACTGGACGAAAGGCTCCAGTTGTCGCAAGGTAAGGCTTTAAGACGCAGAAGTTGAAGCCACCTGCAGCTGTGTACTGAACCTGCAACCGGTGTCTACAGCTTTCAAGACTACCGGGGCCCAGAGGGGCACTCCTGATCTCACCTAACATGAGCAGTTTGCAATTACGTGTGGTACAGCTAGGAATGATCTCATCCAAGGAAGGGAAAAGCAGCAGAGTGGAACAGCCCTGCCAAGGCAAGGGGAGAAGAGCGTGTGGTTAGAGCAGCAGGTTTGTTACAGAGGGTGCTGCAGCTGGTAGCACCAGCTAGTCTTGTGAGACACTCTACATTCAAGGCAGAGTCAGGAAATCAAGCCAGCGGCTCACGTGTTCATAGGTAGTGTCCACCCATTTAAAAAGGGTTCAGGGGGCTTCACAGAAAGTCCCTACCACCTGCAGGGCAGTGAGAAACCTAGAACAGGGGGACAGAGACAGCAGAAACCTGGCAATGAAGGTTGTGGTTAATCACAGAAAAACCACCAAGAATTTCACAGACATCAGTAGCTACTGATAAGAGTCACTGTGAGCGCACTGGACCTTCACCTGCGTACCTCTGCACACTGAGGTGAGAAGCGGATATAACCAACACTCGTCTTAAACCCAACAAGAAACCAGAAAGAAGAAAGCTTTCACAGGAAATCTTAACATTTTACCAGCCAGAAGGGTGGTTTGGCTGGTTGGTGTCGTTCGTTCCTCCCCCCCACTCCAACTCCCACCCCAGACTCAAGGAAAGTGCTTGTTTAACCTAAACTTTAGATTCTCACAACACCCAGAGCAAATTCAATTAACTACAAAATGGTTATGCAGAGCTTATTTCGGTTGATTCTTTACTTTGAAATGAGCCATTCAAGAAGTTCTTTACAAAGTCGGGGGGTTACTGACTTTCAGTAGCTAAGCACAGCTACATGTCTGGAAGTGAAGTAAGCCACCGCGTAGCACTCAAGTACACCAGTGTAACCCTGTCCCAAGCCTATTTCCAAAACAAAGGCCAGAGGTGGGTGAAAGAGGGCTAGAACTGCGTTACCAAGAGAAAGAAAATCCTGTCCCTACAGTTAACAAAGCAGAAACAGCTCTTCACTTCCCAAAATTCATGAATTACAGGGGCAGGCAGCTTATAACCGGGGACAGTCTACAGGGGCTGGAGTAGCCACAAGATACCCCTCCGCAAGCACAGCACATCCTGAATTCCGAGCTGTCATTCTGACAAGGCAGACCTAAACACAAGTATTTCACAGAAGGCCCCTTTCTGTTGCTGCCACTGATACCCACTTACAGACACCTAAAGAGTTGCTCTCAATAGTGAAAGTCTTTCATTAGAGGTCTTCCAGAAAGGTGGCACAAGGAGAACTGAGTATTATTTTCAGGCTTTCTGTATTCAGCAGTAACTTTCCATTTTAAGCATTCACCAATTTAACACTGCCACCTCCTCCACCAGACAACCTCCGTCACCTTTGATAGTCTCTGGAAACTACAGAGTAGTTGCACAAATCAGACTTGCTAATTTTAGGGAAGAAAAGCCTCAGACTGGCTCTACATCTTAGTAACCTCCCTTCCACGAAACAAGCTTCTTGGAAATACTATTTTGAAAGCAAAAAAGAAGTTGTGGAGTAACTAGGAGCAGCTTGACACTACTGCTGAAGACCCTCAAAACCAAATGCAGCTTTCACTTGTCTGAAAGCATTGCTGAACAGCAACATCTCCACTAATTTCAGTATTTTCATTCTCAGGTTTCAAGTGTCTTTTTTAATCCTGTCCTAGATTTCTATAGGAATGTGTAAGTTTCTATACACTTCAGCATTTCTGAATAGTTCAGAAATGATTCAGAAAGATCTCAGCAGGTTTTTTTCTTTCCTTTTAGAAAGGATACCTAAGCTCAGAGCTCTTAGGACATAAATGGATACTCTCCCTATTTAAATATGCCCCCCTACCCTCACGAGCTCGGATGCTCTGCTGAACAGCACACTTGTCAAAGAGACCCTGTTGCACGGTGAGTTCAGTGCACGCTGCTTCATGGACATCCCAGTCAAAGCTTCCAAGCCTTTTCTACGTGGCAGAGCCGCTACCAGGAGGAGTATAAACACACTCCCTCATCTCAGGCATTTTATGCATTTAACAGATAACTCGAATACCTGAACTCACCCCAGGGCCCATGGTAAAGTGACAAAGCAAAGGTGAATTTGCAAGTGTTCTTGTCTCACTGAAGACATCCTACTGATCTTGCTCACCTAAGCTATGACCAAGAGTTTGACGCTGCTATAAATAAAGTAGCTCACCAGAAAGTGTAAAATCCTATTTAACATGGAGAAGACTGGACAGCTTGCCAGTTCAAAGGCCTCTCACAGAAAACCACCATGAAGCACAGGGCAACAACTGAGTAGCCTTACGCACAGCTAATCAAAGCAGACTGGGAAACATGATCTACAGCCAAGATAAAGAAGCATCCATACAAATATCATTAAGTACATCACATATCTTGCCCTCCTCCCCCATGCAACAACACATGCTCAAGGTGACATGAAGCAGATCTTCTTCCTATGAGAGGAAGTTAGACAAAAAAATTCAGGGTAGGACTTTAAAGAACAACTGGGAGGTTTCTGCTTTAACACAGCTCCTCAAGCTTCAAAAGGACAGAACAACAACTCCAAATCACACACCAGGTGCACAGCTTTGCACAGGAAAGACAACCACCTGATGTATAGGCCAAAAAAATCATCCGAGGTTATCCCTTATACGGAACCTGGCAGGGCCAACTGATCTGAGTAGTGTTCAGACAGAACAACACTGAGTGATTTAAGGATGCGCCACCTGCACTTCCAACCTCACACCTAAGCCGCTACGTCCCAATCGCGTCCTGACAGCAGGACTTGGACATTCTGATTTGGCTTACTAAGAAAGCCGCAAGCAGTATTCTAAGTTGAGTGAAATCTTGCCTAAAAATTAAGAGCCAAACCTGTTTTTCAGCTGTTACACTCTAACGTGCTCTGTAACACAATAACACCAAACAGACTAAAGAACAAGCAATGTTTCCAGTGTTCCTGTAACTCACTTGACTGCAGTAACTATCAGACTTGAAAAAAAAAATCTAACATTACTTCATCATTCAAGCTTTAATTTACCCACTGCTTTTCCTTCTGTTCACGTTTCAACCTCATCCCCAAGGACTAGTAACCCTCTTAAAAAATGCGCTCCTGTGTAAAACACAGTTAACCCTGACCCTGCCTTACCAGCAATAGATTGTTTTACTTCCACAGGACCATGTGACTACACCATGTACAGTTTAGACACCAGAGAAGTTCAGAAAGCTGTGGGCAGCTGCTTGCTCCTTCGGCCACAGAGCTACTGAAGTTCACTAACTTCGTGCCCTATGAGGATTCCAGACCAGTCAGTTCAAAAGGTGTAACTTCTGAGGTCCTCACTGCAGAGCTGCCCAATCAACAGAGCGGGCCTAACAGATCTCCAGTGATACACAAGGAAGGTATTAAGGGATACAGAAGGGCAACAAATTTAAGATTAGTATGGGGGGGTAGTATCTAGTACTCTAATCAAAAGAAGGAGAAGGTTCTCCTTGCTAAAGAACTGGGCATCCCATTTTAGAAGAAAAAGGAAAAAAAGTTAGAGACTGCCAGTGTTTGCTGGTAGGAGCATACTTACTGTCATCACCAACCGGCCCTGCCGAACACTGTGCTGGAGGATCACGTGCCAGATCATTCAACTCCTAAAAAACAGGAACAGTTTATTTAATTTAGTTTCAAAACCAATCATGTTAAAAAGGCTGTAGTCACACTTCGGCTGTCATTCCGGCTCATGAACGTGCTGCTCACATTAGCGAGTTTCCTGAAGCGACCAGAACGGCAACAGCACAAAACTAACAGCCAGGACCCCAGAAAGTGAAGCTGCATCTTAAAGCCAGGTAACACCTTTGGCATACGCACCAGCTGCCCCCTCTAGGTTTACACGCAGTATTAAGTCACAGCAATCCTCACTGAGTCAGAGGGTCCATCAAGTTTGCCTTCACTGATAACAAAACTCAAGAGATCCCAAGCATTACTGAGGTATTATATATTCCACTATCTCCAGGTCACAGAGAGATAGATAAGACGGCCTCAATCCAACCACTCTCAGCATCGGCCTTATTTTATCCCCTGTAACAGCTCCCAGGCTGCTCCGGCCACAGTGATCTAGTTTATCATCTCGAGCCTGCAGAAGCCTTTTTGTAGTACACAAAACTTCAGCAACTCGTGGTTGTTTCACTTCCAGATGTATGCACCAGTGAATATAGGTGGTTAAACAGAGTAAGACAAGGCTGGCTGTACCTACAGAGCTGCCAGCCTACGAATGGAAATCCTCACTTTTCAAGCACCTGTGTCAGTCAAATTTTCCTCTGAAGAAATCCTATTATGAGTCTCAATTGCTCTGGCTGAATGGGTTGAGTAACTCGGAATATTTCCAAGCTATACCAAGTTTCAATTTGAAGCAAAATTTCCGCCCAGATCTGAGAGTCCGCACATTGTTCCCCAGTAACTCACATTAGCAATTCGCTCAAAGCGGACATTCAGTGGGAAGTGCAAGTAGAGTAAAACTGTAAAGTCAAACTT